AACTAAGTGCCAAACTCTTTTTCATTTATGTATAAGGGAAAACGCAGCTCACATATTATATTTATGTATGAAAGAAAGGAGAAGCCAGTAGAGGAAACTAAAAGGGCATCCCACGTCATCCACTGCTCTGACCAGTTCACAAAATAGACAGCTTCCCCTCAGACAGAGGCCTAGAAAAGTGACCTTGGAGAAGTCTCTTCCCATAGTCATGCAGCCATGCCATAGAGATAGCTAAAACTCTTAACATCCAACGAGAGAGAGAAGGAACATGCACACACACTTACAAAAAAGTGCAGCAGGATATATGTAATCAACCAGCTAACCACAAAACCACAGAAGAGGGTATAAACTTTGTGTTCACCTGAAACTAACACATACTGTAAAAAAATAATAAAAATTTAGGAAATACGACAAGGATTTAATTATCCGTTGGTTTTGCTGACATGAGTCATCCCCCCCGTAAACCTTGGGTTAATCAGTAATAATGGGTCAGGCACACACAGGTAATACAATCAGAAAGAGTAGGAATGTAACAAGTGACTTGGTTCCAACTCCATGCTAAATAAAAATCATTTTTTAAATGTATAATAAGAAAAGTAATATGAAAATAATACAAAAATGCATAAAATTCAGTGGAGGCAAAAAAAAAAAGCTGAACCAATATAAAAGCCATGGTAATGAAGGGTGTTTGATCCAGCCACACTGAAGCAGCACTGCCAATATTGGGGTTGGGGTCTATTCTCACACGCCAATATTTACGTGCTGCTAAAGCGTGGCAGGTAGATGGGAAAAGGGAGGGGAAGGGAGATCCAACCTATCCTCACTGGTGGGTCAACCCAATCACAGAAGTTTGCCTCTCTAAAAACTATAGCTCTTTGTGTCCAGGTCCATGCATGGGTCAATTTGAATTTTTTTCCTTAAAATTCTAAAGCAGCAAATTATGGTTCGCAAATTTTCTACATTGTTTCAAACCATGATGCGCTGCTATAGCAGTCTAAGGGCTAGCAGAGGGCACGTCCTCTCTCTTCCAATTCCAGTGCAACAGGTTATTCCCATAGAGAAACAAGGCTTTAAGGTAGCCGTGAAAACATTTGCCAAACAGAACTGTGACATGGGCAGAGGGTGAAGAACAGGAAATCTGACAGAATGAAATGGTCGCAGCAGGAAGTTGAAATAAAAAAATTGAATTTACCTGTAAGATCAGAAATCTGTTGTGGTCTAGGTCAATACCGTGGCTTCGGAGTAAAGCCCCAACTTCTTTAAATGTGGCTTTCTTGCCATTGATATGGTAGACTGAGGAATTGTCTTTGTTGGCAGTCCTGGAAACATAGAACTTGCTGTTGGGAATAACTTCGTAGTCATCTCCTTCCTGGCTCAGAGGGGGAGGGGTAGAAGACACAGCAGCTTAGAGCAGAACAGCTCAGAAGAAACTCAAACAGCTCTAAACATCAACTGATAACACTCAAAATACTGACAAATCCACAGAGGGGGGTTAGAGAAAAACAGCCCTTTTAAAAACTATTACAAAAAGGGTTTGTTTAAAAAGAACAGAGCCCATTTAGACCAACTACACTGACATGTAGAAAATTTTCTTAAATCTAAATATAGCAATATTGGAGTGTTTTCTATCTTATTACATTTACAAAATGTTACAACATGTTAGAAAGATGCAATTAACAATACCATAGAAAAAGATGCAAGAAATGTATTGATTTTTAGAACCAAGTCTATTGCAAGTATTTGTGCTGTGTACACCACTTCATAAAAAAAATATAAAGTTTCAAAAAAGGAAGATTAACACATCAGTGAAGTTGTCAAAATTATGCAATTAGTTTAACAACTTGATTTTAATTTTCTGTGAACCTTTGTATTCAAACAGAAAGTTTTAGATATATTTAACAGAGGCCAAAGCTAAACTTACTCACACCCATGATGGCAGATCAAATATAGAAACAAATTTAACTCTGATTCTCTAAAATGCAGGTAGTTTAAGATATTTTGTGATCTAATGCAATATACAAAAATTATCTTAATATAAACACCCAGTTTATTGTCTTTTTACAGTACAATCAAATAACTAGAGCCAAGTCACTACATGGTGCATTTAAAAATTATTTAAAAAATAACCAGATAAATTCTAGCACATTATGAATTGGATATGGCTCATGTGGGCGTTAGCTGTAACTTTCATGACTTATTTCAATCAATGTTTAGTCACAAGTGTAATACCTGAATAGCAATATCATATAATGGGCACTGAGGGAAAAAAAATATTTAAAATTCAAGAAAAATATCTATTCACCAGAAAATATTTCTAGTTGCTCCTCTTCAATTAGGACTGTATATTTATTAATTTAAGAGAGGTTAGAGTGGGTGTGGTGTGTATCTGTGTGTCAGAGATATAGCTACCTTATCAATGATCTTTTGAAAATGCACCTCCACTGTACAGCTTTGGACATCTTTGTGTTTATCAGAGCTGTGAATCAGCACAGAGAGCTTTTTTGATCTGATCTTTTGAGCTCTGTATCCAAACACAAAGAGCATTGAATCTATCACATTGGACTTCCCACTTCCATTTGGACCAATGATGCAGGAAAAGCGCTGGGAGAAAGGAAAGAGTGAAGATTAAAAAAAATAAAATAAAATATAATCATACGAAAATATATTGCAATCACACACAAATACTGTAAATGACATATTTAGAAGTACATACTAACATCTTAGCATCGTAAGATTGTGACAGCTAATGTAGTGTGAGTGGGTGTAGTTAAGGTTTACTTTTATAAACCCATATTTGCACAGCTATGAGGGGAGCAGAAAAAGGTGAAAAGACAGAGTTTTAAAGAAAGTCACAATTTAGGGGAAATGTCAGCACACCATTATATCACTACCCTTTGTAAGATACATTCACTAAATCAAAATGGAGGAGTGTGACTTTTTCCACTTTTAATCCTTTGAACTCAATAAATGTTATAATAAACTACCATCAATAATTTGATGCTTTTTGAGTCTTCCACTGCTCAATGAGGCAGCATGTTTACAGCTGCATCAAATAAAAAAAAAATGAGACAAATAAAATGGAAGAAACACTGCAAATGATGTTAAGTCTGTAAACACATTAAAAACGTGTTTCCCCACGCAGGGTTTACATTTGGAAGTAATTTTGGCCGTACCTTGTGAAAAGGCCCCAGAATCTGCTCGCCTGCGTACGATTTAAAGTTGCGATTGACTAAATGTGTTATCATCAGGCGAGGAGCGCCCGGTTCATTGGTCATTGCTGGGGGCGGGGGTGGAGGGATGCTACCGAGAATCTCCTCCAAACTTCGATTATCAACCGCCTCGGCAGCCTCCCCGTGAGACGGATCTGTGGCATGACAAAAAAGAGTAAAGTAAAACTTTTATTCCTCTGCGAAAGGTTTCAGGTGGAGGGGACAGTGGTGCATGGGGGGAGGGGTGGAGCAGAAAAAAAACAAACAAACAAAACACAAGCAGCGCAGCAAGAAAGTCACATCACCACTCCCGAGAAAGTTGACAGGGCTTATTTCTTCTTTGTTCTGAAAACACGAGCCAACCCCCCTCAAAAAAGCAGAACTCTACCATGGCCGCTTATGACGGGAGCACATTATTATACAAACGCAATCCACGAGAAGCGTTCATTCGTGAGAATGGATGCGCCACATTCATTCCGTCGAGGGCGAAGAAGTAAAGTGTGAAATTCGACCATCAACGTCACATTTTCACTCATGTCGGACTGGGCTCAAAACACACAAATGGGAATTCCTGTTTTGTGATTATAAATGAAGAACGCAAAAACCCGATGTGTGTTGCCATCACACCGAGCCACAGCGACCTGTCCAAAACCTATTGTGCTCACATAAGCATAAACAAGCGATGGGGTCGATGCTTGTAAATTAAATACTTAACATCTCAACATATAACACAGGATACACACACCACTTGATACCAATATGCACCACAAGCATCGCATTCAAATTACATAATATCAAGTTATAAGAATAAAGTCAAACACCCTGTTTGATCAACTACACAAAAACACTTCTGCATCCGAAACAAATCACCTCGTTAGTTGAGAAGATCCGAGGAAGAAGTGCATTCGACGATATCATCTCAAAAATCACGAGATGTTTATTGATAGCAGGCACTTTAGAAAAAATATACATCAGCCTTTGTAACTACGTGTTGAGATCTAAGTAAGAAAAAAAGGCTCCACAGCTGTGCCAATTGGCAAAAAATAGCAAGTACAGCAACACACGCAAACGCCATTGAGTGAACACAACTTATTTAGATTCACAGACACCAAAACAGCCTTTGTTACTTGCCAGTTGTCGGTGGTGCCTCCTCTTTGCCATTGGAGTTGGTTTCTTGTGGGGGTACATCCAGCTCGTCCTCGGAGTCATCCCGAGGCTGCGACCCTTTCCCTCTTGGCTTGGCGGAGGCAGTGGAGCTCTTTGCAGTTTTAGATGGCATGGTTTGAAATCTGAATGGGTCATTGGTGGAAAAAAGGGAATATCCATGAGTGGGTTTCGTGCCTGTCAATCTCCCAACTCCTTTTTTGGGGGTCGGTCACACACGCAGCTCCCCTGTTGTCAGGCTTTAATCATCACCCCAGTCAGATCTAACTACCGCCCATCTACCGGGTAGTCCGTAGTTTTTTCATAAAGTAACGCAGTTGTTTCACCAGTAGATAACAACATGGATACAAGTGGGTACGACCTAAACAAAGTGGATTATTAAAAAGGCTCTCGCCTTGATAACACCAGAGATGTGGTGATTGTAGAGAATAAGATTCTAGTATAACCCTAAATAAGTTTTAAATTATTAATGGCCTCCTGCGAGTGTCTCTTCAATAACCTCGTGCACCCTAATGTGGGATTTGGAGGAGGAAAAAAAAGCTAAACGTGTAATAATAATCCTTGCCATGTTGTGAAATCGTGAAAATAAGATTAACGCAAACTGTAAAACAAATCCTGTGCATCTGCACGAACTGGTCGCAGCTCTGCCTAACGCTATCTTAAACGACCTTTACGGAATAGACGCATCTGAACGGGCTCACTGGTCGATGGCAAAGACGCAACATCCTCAAAGCATCGAAATCTAAAAGTGACACCGACATTAGCTTCCATCCTCTCTTCTTCTTAGGCTGGGGGCGGAGGTGCAGACGACGCAATGTGACTCACTAGCTAGTTGGAGAGCGCATTCAAACTGTATCCTCACTGTAACTGCAGCGTTGTAATAACACGGATATTAGCCGCGTTAATACGTGGGCGCCGCTAGCCTGACCCCCCCCCCCCCCCCCCGATTGAAATAAACAACTTTGCCACGTTACTGCGCAATTTCCCCCATTTGCTCGCGTTAAGACAAAGTTAGCCGCCGTAGCTAGCGATCTAACGTTTAGTTGCGCAGCGAGGCTAAAGCTAACATAGCTGCTAACTTTGACTGGCGAACTTATCAGCGTCGTGGATGTATAACGTTATGGCAACGCAGTAAAGTCAGAGTTGGGGTTATCTGAATTGAAAGGAGAGCTTTTACTCAGCGTGAGCTTAAGCTCAAGAAGCTGACGTTAACCAGACTCAAGGCGCTGTGGTTAAAAAGTTTAACGCCCATCTACAGCATTAACATTAGCTTAGACTACTGCGTGATACTGTAACGAGCGTCTGTCTCCGAAAAAAGGTGAAAGCTGCATTAAATGTGTAATAAATCGTAAAAGCTACAACTCTCATTACATTCAGGAGTATGTCAAAGTTTGCCAGTTTCTTTCGATCCGCAGCTAATGTTGAAACGCAAATTAATAAGTGCTGTTAATGTTAAGTCTGATTTGAAACTAATGCAACGCACTTCAGCAAATAGACGGAACCCAGCCATCAACTCTCCCCCAAAAAGCTTTCTTTGTACCTTCCACAATATGCACGCGGTGCGCCAAAAGTCTCCCTTTCCGAGCCGAATCGCGATTAAGAAAACAAAAGGCGTCCGTGAATCCAGAATTCGGCAGAAAATAATCCACAAAAATTAGCCCCGTGTCATCCCGAGTCGCTGCCCTGCTTGAAAACTCCAACTTGTAAATGGCGCCTAAACTGTGCCGTCGAACCAGATTCGTTAGAAACTGACGCAAGGCACCATGGACCGTTCAAAGGGCAGGGGAAAAAAACACCAGATTCAAAAAAAGGGGGACGAAGCCAACTCCGCCTCGCTGCGATCACCCGGCGACGCGATGAGAAAAATAACAAGAGAGAACGAAAAACACTCAGTAATTAAAACCATATTCTCCACGTTGTTTTATATCGAGCGAGATTATTGTCAGATTCAAAGTCTAATGTTTCTACGTGTTCAAACGGTTGCCTTGGTTACAGCAGAGCAAAGTCCCCGCCCCCGCCAATAGTTCCGGGAAATATTGTTCGATTATTGCTGATATTAGTTTGATTTGAGTTTAATGATTCATGTTGAATACATCCTTTCAATATATATCGTTTGTTTTATGTTACTTAAACTATATGTGTTGTTAAAGAAACGAGACTCGCAACTCTCGCGATAACTCATTTTCAAACTGTTTATTGTGACCCAGATTAAATGGCTAACCGAGAGTTAGCATGATAACCACTGCGACTGTACGGGTATTAGTGGTGGATGGGCTCGTTTTGTATCGTCGCGACCACCCGGACTGTTGCTAGAGTAAACGACACGCAGGCATTCGCAGGATAGACTCGATAACCCACAGCACGATGTCGGCTTTAGCCATGAAACCAAGTTAGCATTAGCATCGGAGCTGTGGCCAGTGCTCGGGGACATCAGAGGATTCGCGTTAGCAACAGTGTCTGTGCCGTAGCAACTGCAGACGCTTGTTTCCATCACCGACAAACAGCGGAGCTTTTCCTCCAGCGAGGGGTCAAGAGGGATTTATCCACAATGAGACTGAAAACGTCTTTGTTGAAGGAATCCAAACATATCCTTTCTGTGTTATTGTTAGCTGTTTAACCTGACATGTGTGTTTTGGTATTGCTCCATGATATATTGTTATGAGATTTGTTATTGTTTTTAGCATTACTAATGTTTCTAGTGGTAACTGGTTTCTTTCTAATGTTGTTAGATGTGAACCTTACAGTTGTGTTTCTGTACAGCTCTAACACAGCATATATTCATTTGTAACACAACTTCTTGCTATTGTTATCATCATTAATGTTAGCACCAACGTCATCAAATGCCTCTAGAAGTAACTGGTCCCTCTCTGATGTTGTTAGCCGTTTAGCTTTACACTTATAAAACTTTATTTTATGTTATTATGTAAAACAGCTTCAAACACGTAGCTAGTTCTTATCATCACTAGTGTTTGCACCAACGTTATTGAATGTTTCCTGTGGTAAATGGTTATTTCCTAATGCCTGTAAGAAATCTAGAATCTGTAAAGTATCCTGTCATTTATTGCAGTGGCTGTCATGGCACTTCCCATCACTTTCCTTAACAGCAGATCACATAAGGAACTTGTGAGCTGTGTCGGCTGGACCACAGCAGATGAACTGTATTCGTGCAGCGAGGACCACCAGCTCCTCAAGTGGAACCTGCTGACCAGTGAGACCAGTCTGGTTGTCAAATTGTCTGATGACATTTACCCCATTGACCTACACTGGTTACCCAAAACCACCGGTGGCAAGAGACAACCCCAGGCTGAAATCTTTGCCCTCACCAGCACCGATGGTAAGTGTTTTTATTCCTCCACTTCACAGTGGGCTACAGGACCTTGTTTCCGTCAGTTTTATTTAACAAGTCATCTATTTGTTGAACAGCCACATGATCAAGATCACATATTTTCCAGTCATACCTGTACAGGAGACATTTGAACAACATTGTGTTAAAGTAGAGTTGTTTTTCAACACTGTAATACGACACTTAACGGTACAATCTGGATGACGTGCATCTATATGGCCTTGTCTTTCACTTCTTTGGCTTATATTAGATATAAACACATAGAATATGGATGTACTGTTATGGCAGGCAACGTGTGGTCACAACACTAATGGCAGTGTAGGGTTGCATAAACACACCCACAAACTGAAGCAGCAATTTTCTCTGGCAGACCAGAGAGTAGTGAAAAGTCTTGTTACGATTCACTTTTTGAAACTTTCTCCTGCTGCTTACATTGTTGAAGTTAAAGATAAATCAACATCGCTCCAATTATTGCTTCAAATAAGTTTTAAGTTTTTATTAAAAGATACATTTTGATCAACCTTGAGGCTTTTCTTAGCCGTATTGGATTAGTCAGCCTTCCTTTTCCTTCACAGTATATCTTTATTTTGTAAAACCCTTATTTAGTGTGTTAACAAGTATGCAGCGAAACAATGTTTGGCAACAAAAATGAGGACTGGGATTGTGAGTGCACCTGTAATTGAAATAGAAAATATACTTTTAATACTTTAACAGATAGTGCTTAATTATAAAGTTTTGCCAGGCTAGAGGTTAGGATTTCTATTCAATAAGTGTATTGGTTGTCTTATAACAGGAAAGTTCCATCTGGTCTCCAAGATAGGACGCATTGAGAAGAGTGTTGAAGCACACAAAGGAGCTGTTTTGGCTGGAAGATGGAACAATGATGGAACTGCTCTTGTCACAGGTAAAGATGACAGGGCTCACACATTTTCATTGCAAATAAAAAATACTCATTTAATTAAACCGCCATCCAAATTTTAATAATATACCTTTCTCTAATATCTTAGCTGGAGAAGATGGGCGGATCAAGATCTGGTCAAAAAGTGGTATGCTGCGCTCAACACTTGCCAGCCAAGGTAAGCCAAAAGACAGTTGATTCACTTAATTTAAGTTAAGATACTTGCCATAAATGTTTCGTGTGCTTGTATGAAACTGTTCATAATAATTATAGATTATCACTCAATCACAATTTAGTGATCAGTGCAGAGCACATGTATTTGTTACACGTGCATCCTCTGCACTATGTGATTGTGACACTAATGGCTGCAGATGCCCAGTCGTTTGCTATAATTCATAGACTGAACAGAAAAAATTGGGCTGAAAAAGCAATCATCGTTATCCTGGAAAATAGCGATTTTAAAGATTGCAGTTTTCCATCAGCAAGATGTAAATGTTTAGCCGGTGACTGGTTTTAACGCCTGAATGGAGCTGTGGCTAGCAAATTTAATTAGCTGGAGCTAAGGAAATAACAATTCTGTGAGTTTAAAAATGTTTTCGGTGTGTGTTCTCCAGTTTCAATTGGCCAAATATACGATTTCTTGAAAAAGAAAATACAACCCTGTAATGTTTTGATAATTAAGAGGAGAGAAGTTAGCTCATGGGGGAAAATGTTTGTACATATTAAAACTTTTAATCCGTACAAATTTGAAAAGCACGGTATTTTACTGATAACTTTACATTCACTATGTGTAGAATTTGAAAAATAGATTGTTACATTTAATCTGTAATGGTAAGTGTTTTAGCCATGGTGTGGCATAGATAGATAGATAGATGTACTTTATTGATTTACATGATTAAGTATTAAGATCAAGTATCCCTCATTTCTTGCAAACCTGTACACAATGAGGCTTAGAGCTATACATTTAAAGAGACCATAGTCCATGTCCCTCTTGATTTACAATCGTCTGAATGGCACTGTGAGTAAGAACCAATCTGACTTCAGACTGACAGAAATTTAAAGAGATCACAACTGAAGCAGCTGGCAGCCAGCAGTAGGAACCATGTGAAGCCAGTCACTGACCAGCCAGCTGCAGGCATTTAGTAAACACAACACAAAACTCTGTCACCAATTACATCCTCACCGTCACAGACACACACAGTACCAATTGCTTTTGGACCTTCTGGCTCAAGAGTACCCCTTGAGATGGAGAGAGAACAAGAGCAAGAAGCAGAGAGACCTGATGAAGACGACCTGGCACACAGACACGCATGACTCGTGTGAATCAGGGAAGCCTTATTTTATCCTGAGGGCTATGACGCACATGTTCACCTCCTCAGCTGGCTCCCTTTTGACACAGGACTCAAAATGACTGACTCACGAAACGTCTTACAAATCCACAGATGTTGTCCCAGATCATACAGTAAATTGTACCTTACATGTGTGTATGTATCCCACTTGTACATGTGTCTGCATTGTAGCACTCACTCAGGAGGACCTGCAAGATTTGCATCTGTGGTTTTACTGTCAATGAAGGAGGAACTATTTTTGTGTGATTGTGTAAAAATGTGTGTCTTATCAAATTATAACTGTGTTCAGGACAGTCTTCAAGTTCAGTATTTATTTTAATTTGAAGCATCGTAAAGCTTTATAGAAAGACCTTTGTAAAAAAAAAAAAAATAGAAATACTCCTTATGATACATTTCTCTGTCCAGTCTTAGATATAGCTTACTTATTAATTGATTCATTGTGCAGTTTAACTTATTAAATGTTTCTCCTTTGTTGTTGGACAGAAAAAAAGATGGTGGATGAAAGTTGGCGTCAGTGAGAATAGATCGCAAAAAAGCAAAAGTACAAGACTGCGTACATAATTATTTTAAGAGTGAAGGAACTATCCATCCCATAAACCATTGCAAATGATCCCTTTCCAACCACTTCCAGTGCGCTAACTCTTGAATTTAACCATGATGTTTTGTGTCTTGTATGTATGAGAGAGCTCTCGGAAGAGGTTGGGAGTGAGTTAGTGAGAGGACGGTGAGAGGAATTTCCTCTTACCCCTCGTAGCCTAGTCAGATTTAGGTCATGTGACCAGTTAGCATTTGTGAGAGGGTTAAACATAACCCCCACTCCCTATCCTTCACAAGTGCGTAGCAACAACCCTACTTATATACTCACATATTCCCACATGTAACCACATGAAAATTGGCACACAAACACATGCACATGCTTGTATCTCTATCTATCTAAGGACATTCATCGACATAATACTTGCCCTAACCCCTTAATCTTAACCATCACAATTTACCCCAACCCTAAAACTGGCCTTTAAATGTTTGAGAGTGTGGACCAGCTGAAATGTCATCGCTTATAAAAAATGTCTTTACTCTGTAAGGTCTAATAGTAAATTTAGTCGTGGTAAAGATAGAATAACACTCACATACACACACACACACACACACACACACACATACATCCGCATTTGTGCTTATACTGTAGCGGTTGGGCAGATTTTCTCAGCTGGTTTATCTGCAAGCAAAGTGCTGATCCATTGGCTGAATGTGTTTCTGCATATATTCCAGCAACTCCTGTGTATTCTGTGGCCTGGGGTCCAGACTCAGACCGAGTCCTCTACACCTCAGGGAGACACCTCGTCATCAAGCCTCTGCAACCCAGTGCAAAAGTCTTACAGGTAACTTCACATATTCTATAGATGAACAATAAGAAACATCAAGTAATATGGGTTCCAGTTAAAATATCTTGTACTACTTCGAGTACTTTGGATACACCACATCGTTATAGAAATGCAACATGGTAGCCCCACAGCTTGTTATATCTAATGGACAGTTTATTTTCTGTCGTCAATATCTTTGTATGGTAGTTTTTATTTCCTGTGTAGATTTCTTGATTTGACCATTGGTCTGACATCACCAGACCCTTTACCCTTTAGGGTCTCAATCAATCAAACTTGAGGTTTATTTATTTGCATTGCACTATAATGGATACATAAAAGTGCAGTAGACCTATATGTCTGTGAGTGCCACTGCATTAAGGAAGGGTGCAGCACTGAGGAGTTTGCACACAAGTCATTTTTCTTGTTCGCGTATACATTCGTTTATTACTCTTCTTGAAGCTGAATTGCGCCTGGGACCTTACATAAACAGTGGAGGGTTTAATGTGCGCCTTCTCAACCCTTTGCGCCCCCCCCCCCCACCTGAATACAGTGTCTTGCAGGAAGTGATGAGAAAACTGGGAGACAGAAACACACACACACACACACACGCACACACGCACCCACCCACGCACGCACACACACACACACACACA